CAAAGAGGCAAAGTTTGCAAAGTTCTAGCTTCCCTCTGTAATTTACAGCTTCACTGCCTCTAATAAAAGAAAGATCTGGAATGGACAGCAAAAGAACTCTTTGCAATAAAACTCTTTTTCAACTCATCACTGCCCGTGAATTTGTGATTAAAAAAAAGGAATTGGGGACAACTCCCTGAAATCGGTAAGTTTGCTCAGACCTGATCAGAAATAAAAAAGGCAGCTTGGGGACATTTTTGTATTATAAGCCCACAATCAGCTTCAGTGGCTGGATTGAAGAAGACCTTGAATTCATAGAGCTGCACTGTGCCTTTTAAGACGGGGGGAGGACGGTGTATAGGCACAATGGATATTAAGTTCAATAGGGACTTTTGTGGGAGCATATGCTATTAAAAAGGAATAATGGGTGCAGAAAGGAGTCCTTGAAGAAATGTCCCTTGACTTTTTTTTTTTAAATGCTGATAATTATGCACAGACTCCACTACAATGAAATGAGCTCCACTCTTCAGACAGCAGAAGTATTATGGTGGCCTTTCCATATAAAATGACTTGTTTCTTTGGGGCATCCCCAAACTTAACTATCTCACTAGTCTGCACTAAAGTCCTTCTTAGATCTGATCAATATTTTTCAACTTTCAATTTTTTAATGAAACAGTCTGAATTTATTGAAAAAGTGTCGTCCCCCCCCCCCCCCCAACCAAGCTCTAGTCCTAATGCATGCTAAAGTTATCACAGTGGACATCAGAGCCAAGATTCTCAAATAGAGATGCCTAAAATTAGGGTCTTAAATCCTTATTTGGGCACATAACTTAACTAGCCTGATTTTCAAATGTGCTGAGAGCTCAACAGCTCCCCATTGAAGTCAATGGGCCTATGTGGTGATCTCTGGAGGGAGAAGAGGACAAAAAATTGTTTGACAGACCCACCCCAAAACACTAATGCTATCTGTCCAAAAGATAAGAGGATCTTCAGTCTATTATGGGAAGAAATGGTTTGCTGTTGGAATCCAGAGGGTAGAAAGGGGGGGATCACATGGGTCTGAATACTACATTTTGAATAAGCATCCCATTCTTCAGCTGTTTATCCAAACAAACTCAAATGCTTTTTTGTTGCTGTTGTTGTTTTTTGATATTTGACTATAGCTACTTTAAAATAAAATATCAGATGGTGAAATACCCGCCTTTGTGGAGAATCTGCAGCATAGTTCAAACTCGGTGTTGATCTGTTCATCGATTCGCCCAGCTTTCTCGGGGACAAATCAAGGTATTTCCTATTTTTCAGATTTTTAATGAAGACACAAAGCTGTCTCACAAAAGCTGTTTTATAATATTGAATAACCCCCCCCCCCCAAAAAAAAGAAAAGAACGGAAAGAATATACAGAGAGGCATAACAATGCAATAATTACTTGTCTGTGCACCATGGGTCAGAGCTGCAAATTGTCTTTTTGGTGGCACATACTCTAAGCATACTGTTTACCAAAAGTCTTTTCAGTCTGCTTACCAAAAGGGTAATCTTTATCTGCCAGGAGCAAATAGTGTAAAACAAGAACAAGGACAGTCAGCAAAGGAAGGGCAGATTTCATGTTTGCCTTGATCCATCCTAAATGCAATTCTGCTTGACCTCCAAAAGTGTACATGAGTACACACATCTAGTCCTGACTGATGGAGGGAAATGTTTATATTTGTACTTCAATTAGTCAAAGAGATTTCACTGACATGGTTCTTTAAGTTCATTATGCAATAGCTTATTAAAATATTTATCAAATGTACATAGAGAGAACTACAGTACTGCAGCCTTTCTAGAGTGGACAGTAATATCCAGAAGAACAATTATGCTTTCAGATAAGGATTTATATCTTCATTATACTGTTTGACCTTAGGCTGCAGATATTTATTCAATACAATTTCTTATAACTACCATACCAAATGTAACCTTAATGATGTTCTACAGTTTTGCAATGCAAATTATAATCTGTTTATGATCCCTGATTGTGCAAATTAAAGCTAATTACATCTTTTCTATTCAGGGAAACATTACACTTTCTAAGAGGATTTCTTCTCCAAAAAAGCAAGGTCAATATAAACAATTAAAAAGAATTTGTGGCTGAGCTGTCTGAAAATGTAATTTCAAATGCTGTTCATAGGATTCAATTTAGGGGGTCCCCACTGGTTAATTTTTGAAGCACATTTATGAGAACTGCAAGCTTCACAGAGTCATGGAGTTTGTTTCTTTTTCATTTAGTGAGGACAAGAGATAAACTGGTATATCTTTATAAATGTAATAAGTTATTCCCACATACTATAAAGTATAGTATTCCTGTCATGACCTTTTTCTGATTTTTTCCAAATATGGAATATTGCCTCCAAAAAAAAATAATTTCAGGTTGTGCAACAGTAAGTACTGAACTAAGAGAAAGTTTAGGGCCCAATAACCTATCCTGAGAAAAGTTCTTGTTACCAGGGTAGAAATCAGGATGTCTTTTTCCCCCTATCTCCAGCCCAGTTTCTGAAGCTATGAGCTTCAAATAAGTATCTTCTTTTTGGATGCTAACTTAAAGCAAAGGAACTACTAAATATTTTGAAGTTAATTCATCACCAGTTATTATCTTTCCTTTTAATCATCTTTTTTCTAGACTACATATATGAAATACTAGTCTTTCATCACATTTCCCTTAATCATTTTAGTTTATTTTCTTGAACTTTCTTTAATTTTTGGGTCTTTTTTATAAAGAGGACTTCAAAAATAAAAATGATATCGTAAGTGTTATCTTGTCAAAATTATAGATAATAGTCATGGTATTAATGCCTTCATTTTGCAATATATATCCCACAGTATCTTTTGCCTTTTTTCATATTGGTTGAATGTGACCTTATTTTTAAGAATCACAATGACCAGCCCGCCTGGGTTAGCAGTAAAGCTGGGTGAATAGTAGAAAATATTTACTGTTAATATTCTCTAGAATTCAAAAATGCATGTTGATTTGATCATGTTAACAGGCTTTCAAAATTGCTTTCCACAAACAACCAGGCTTTACTAGCATAACTATTCATTAGAGGCAAATGTTAACACTGAGTGCTTTAATATTTATGGAATGTGAATTTCAAATTGTACATTCAGTTGTAGTATTTAAAATTTGTTCTGTGTTACTTAATTAAATAAGTCATCCAATCAGGAGATGGAACAATGCTATATGACCAATGTAACTATAAACAACGCACCTCAAATTTGAATGTTCTAACACAGAATATTTGCAATGAACTCTTCAAGAGCTACTTACATATGAATAGATGTTCCTTTAGGCACTGCCCTGAACAAGTGGTGAGCTGGCACCAGGAGAAACGGGCTCAGAGACCCCTCTATGTCACAGTTCTTCCCCTGCTACTTCCTTGCTCCAGGTAAGGAGGGAGAGTAATATTCTGCATGCCTATGCCCATAACACATTACGCCACAGATATAGGGGGTAGAAACTAGCCTATTCCTGCCCCTCCCCACCCTCCTGTTCCAGGACAGAAGTATGCAGGTGTGCAGCATATGCTGACGCCTGTGCATCAGGACCCAGGACCCAGCTCACATAATAGTATCTTTCTCCACCTTAATCCCTTGCATAAGGGGAATTACATTTGAGCACCTCCAAGCATCTGGGTGCATTATCACAATCCTTTTCTCACCCCTGTTACTCCCTGCAGGCTACCAGCCAACCAGGGCAGGTCTTCAGTGGCTTGCTCCTCTAGCCAAGTCATAAAGTCCAAATGAACCCCTTCTGGGGTATTAAAGAGTCCAATAACTAAACAGACTATTTGGCCTCATTGGGATCTTCAGTCCCAGCTCTGTGTCCTTTAAATTCAGCCCTTTGTAAGGGCTCCCAAATAAGCCCTGTCCCCTTCTTAGGGTTTATTACACTTTATCTGTGGCAGGTCAGGGAACCCACGACCACCCACTAACCTAGTTTTCCACTCAGGGACTCTATACATAGCCACTTGCTGCCGGATTCAATTCATTGCTGTATTTTCCCTGGGCCTCTTCCTACCAGACCCCTTTTAGCTTCATCCTTATTTTGGGGTTAAGGTTCTTAGGTCTTCTCTCCCTGCAAACCCAGCTAAGGCAAATGCAACCAGAAACAAACACTCGTTACCCCTTAGCCAATCCTGAAAAAAAAAAACAAGAACACCCTTCCTCACTCTCTGGCCCCATCTAGGAACTGGGCTGCAGCTCTTTTTATCTGAGTCTGCTAGGCTCTGACTGGCTATTGCTAGCCCTTGAAGGACCAGACTTTCTAGCTTCCAAGATGGCTGCTCTAATGAGGCCTCATTAGGCAGGCTTAGAGGACCCAACTTTGCTGCTATTTTCCTTCCACTTTGCTGTTTCCTGGGGTTGGGTGTAGCAGAATAGTGGGATCTCCAGCAGGGGCTACAGAGGCCTGGTACACCCCATCACACAGGCATGTAGTTCAAGTCACAACGTCTCTCAAAAGAGAAAATTCACAAATATTTTCAAATACATTAGAGGTGTTGGCAATCTGCTTGTGAACATTTTATGAACTAGACAAAGAAAGAGGAAAATTATCCAAAATGTGTAATTTGTTACAAATGTTTCATTTCACCATAGTTAGCAGTATTGAAGGGAAAAGGAACATAACTTGGATCATACTGACGAAGTCTATGGTTTGTTATGACATGAGGCTGAGTCAATGCATAAATTGATACATTCCTATGGTTTTGTGCAAAGGGACTAAAACATATCACTGTAATATTATTGAAAATGAAGATACATGATACATCATGAGACTATTTATAAAATATTCAGCTTATTATCCCTTTTTAGTAGTACTCTTCTGTCAGTGATTTATCAATTACTAATAAAAAAAAAGGGGATGTATGTGGTGGCCAGGGAGGGATAGTACCTCTGATGGGGGGACTTGTCGTACCCTTTCGGGGTAGTCCATCCACTTTGGTCCCCACCTCTCACTCAGCTCTCACCTGTGGCTCCAAGTAGCTGCAGCATGTGCAGCGGCCACACCCTGGCCAATGGTTTCGACAGGCCGGCCAAACCAGATGAGTGTAACTGATAGGACTCAAACCCTCAGTGAATTTGGGATATGCCTTCCCTGCATGTGACGTCAGCTCTGGTGGATTGGGCGAAAGAAATCACTAAGATCCAGTGGCCAAGAAGGTGGTTTTGCAACGCTTTGTGGAAAGCGAAGGACTTGACGAGGCACGAAAGACGTCAAGGCCATCCACTGCAACCAAAGAAGTTACTAGTCGTGACGATTTTTCGTACCATTAGTGTCTGGCTTCTAAGGACGAGAGAGTAGGATTGCAACGGCTCTACCACTCAAAAGCTTTCACGCACAGGTCCTGTGCAAATCATCAAACATCATCATCATCATACTACCCAAGTCCTATGGCGATGGGGGAGGGGCAAAGCGACAGGTGGAGGTTACCACTGGGAGTCGTAGTCCCAATCCTGCACTCAGGCGGCCTGTGGATAGGTGGTCGTCCAACTCTGTACTTGGGGCAGCAGAGTTGCCCGGCAGCATCCCAGGCATCTGAGCAGTCCTCTTCAGGACAGCACTGCTCACCCTAGTGAGGGAGGGGCCTAGAAAAGGTGGTCTAAAAATTGCCTGCCCTACAACAACTGGCCAGCAAGCCGCGGCTCGCAGTTCAACCCAATCTGCAGCCGAAACCAAAAGAAAAATTTGAGAAAACTTACCATTGGTGTATGGAATGTTTGTACCCTCATGGATCGAGAAGCTGTTGCAAGACTCGAGAGAAGGACAGCCCTCATTGCTCAAGAACTAGTCTGTTATAACATCGATATAGCGGCATTAAGTGAAACAAGATTGCCTGGGGAAGGTTTCTTGAGTGAACCAGGAGGTGGTTACATCTTCTTTTGGAAGGGTAAGACTGCAACAGAGGATAGAATACACGGAGTTGGTCAGGCAATAAAAACCTTATTGATGCATCAACTCCCAGACCTTCCAGTGGGTATCAATGAAAGATTTCTGAAGCTACGCTTCCCACTAAATGCCAAACATCATGTCACCATCATCAGTGCATATGCACCCACTTTAACATGCTCTGACATCTCAAAGGAACAATTATATGAAGATCTCGACAGACTGATCAAGGCCACACCTGTAACAGATAAACTACTCCTTCTTGGAGATTTCAATGCCCAAGTCGGGGCTGACAGTGAGAACTGGAAAGGAGTAATCGGGCCACATGATGTAGGCAAAATGAACAGTAATGGACTTCTTCTTTTGAGTCTTTGTTCTGAAAATGACCTGACCAACGCTCTGTTCCGACAAGTGGACAAATACAAAATGACGTGGATGCACCCTAGGTCCAAACAGTGGCATCTGATAGATTATGCCATTGTTAGAAGGCGAGACATCCGAGACGTACTGATTACCAGAGTAATGCGAGGAGCAGAGTGCTGGACAGATCTCAGATTAGTCAGGACGTCTCTTCAACTCTACATCGTTCCTTCTCGGCACAAATGCCCTAAGCATGTGTGACCTGCTTTCAATATAGCCAAACTGAAGGATGCTCAATGTTTCAACAAATTCCAGAAGAGTCTTGATGACAAACTGACATCCCACGGACAACTGATCGGTACTGTAACCGAAAAGTGGGACCAGTTCAAGCATATAGTGACTGACACAGCAATAACATCTCTTGGACCAAAGAAAAGAACACATCAGAATTGGTTTGATGAGAACCAAGAAGGAATATGCTCAGCACTGGAAGTAAAGAGAAAAGCCTTTATCGAATGGCAGAATGACCCCTCCTCAGTCTCTAAACTGGACCATTTCAAGTACCTTCAGAGCAAAACACAGAAAGACATCCGTCAGATACAAGACAACTGGTGGGAGAGCAAAGCCAAAGAAATTGAGCACTATGCTGAAACCCACAACTTAAAGATGTTCTTTAGTGCTATTAAGACTGTCTATGGACCCTTTAAACCAAGGACCACCCCATTTCTCTCATTAGACAACACAATGCTGATTAAAGATAAAGAAAGCATCAACAAAAGATGGCGAGAACACTTTAGCAACCTTCTCAATAGACCATCAACTGTGAATAATAATGTCCTTAATGAAATTCCAGAACAACCTGCTCTGACAGATCTTGACTTTCCGCCCACTATATATGAGATTAAGAAAGCTGTTAGCCAGATGAGTTCAGGGAAAGCTCCTGGAAAAGATGGGATACCAGCAGAGATATATAAAGCAGCAGGTCAAGCAGCACTAGCAGCGTTCCAGAGCGTGATCATCAACATCTGGGAGGATGAAAACATACCACAGGACCTTCGTGATGCTACTATTGTCTCTCTTTTCAAGAACAAAGGCAGCAAAGCAGAATGTGGAAACTATAGAGGCATATTCCTCCTCTCTGTTGGAGGGAAGATCATCACCCGCATCATCTTGAACCGCCTAATAGCCAGTATTTCTGAGGCAAATCTACCTGAAAGTCAATGTGGTTTTCGACCTGGCCGGAGCACAGTCAACATGGTGTTTGCTGTCAGACAAATACAAGAGAAATGCATTGAACAGAACATGCACCTGTATGCTGTCTCCATAGATCTGACAAAGGTTTGATACCTTTCAACAGGGAAGCCCTTTGGACCATTCTAACACGATTTGGCTGCCCAAGAAAATGTGTCCAGATTATACGCCTTTTTCATGATAGCATGACAGGTGAAGTATTGTCTGATGGAGCCACATCAGCCCCCTTGAACATCACCAACAGTGTGAAACAAGGATGTGTTCTCGCTCCTGTCCTATTTAACCTGTTCTTTGCATGTGTCCTTAACCATGCACTGAAAGATTTGGACCGAGGTATATACTTGAAATATCGGCACGATGGTTCACTTTTTGACTTATGTTGCCTGAATGCAAAGACTAAGACAGTGCAGAAACTCCTTCTTGAGGCACTCTTTGCTGACGACTGTGCCCTCATGGCTTACACTGAAAATGATCTTCAGAACATTGTCAACAAGTTTGCTGAGGCCTCGCAACTTTTCGGACTAACTATCAGCCTCGGAAAGACAGAAGTTCTCCATCAACCTGCACCTGGATCAAATGCTTCTGTCCCAAATATCTCCATTGACGGCACTCAGCTGAAAGTAGTGGAGAACTTTAAATATCTGGGTAGTGTCATATCCAGTGATGGATCACTGAATAATGAGATCAATGCACGAATATCCAAAGCAAGCCAGGCACTTGGCTGTCTGCATGTCAAAGTTTTAAATCACCACAACATCCGGATGTCAACAAAACTGCTTGTGTACAGAGCTGTTGTTCTTTCATCTCTTTTGTATGGGTGTGAAACATGGACACTATATAGGCATCACATCAAGCAGCTCAAAGCATTTTGCATGCGCTGCCTCCGCAACATCATGAAGATCTGCTGGCAAGACAAAGTGCCCAATCTTGAGGTCCTCGAGAGAGCCCAGATGACAAGCATCGAAATGATGATCATGAAGTCACAGCTATGTTGGACCGGTCATGTCAGCCGCATGGATGCCAACAGAATCCCCCGCCATCTTCTGTATGGTGAGCTCTCCCAGGGCATCCAGCATATAGGTTGTCAATGGAAATGTTACAAGGATACCATCAAAGCCAGTCTGCACTACAGCAGTATGAAACCTAGGGACCTTGAGGACGCCGCCAACGACAGAACACAGTGGCGTGCAACAGTCAGAAATACCTGCATCGCCTTTGAGGAAGACCGCTGCCGGCGTCTACAAGAGGCACGTGAACGACGTCACAGAGCATCAGCAGTGCACAATCCACTGACCACGAACTTCCCATGCACCATCTGAAGTAAAATGTGCACCTCTAGAATTGGCTTGTACAGTCACCAGAGGGCACACCACAAGACCAACAACTGATGATCTGCACAGATTTGTCACCATCGGATTCGATGGACTACCAAGAAAGAATAAGTAAAAATATTTTTTTCTTAACAGCCCACCCCACACACTTGCCCTAGGATCAGAAAATCAAGCTGGGTTCTTTCTTTCTCATTCAGCAACACTAGTAATGAGTATTATGTGGGTCACATTCCAATTTCAGTTATTTTATAGTCCTTTGAGTTCAAGTGGGTTTCATAAATGTAATAATAGGCTACAATAGGTTTTCATCAGTATAAATCAGGGCAGAATTTGCCTGCACACCTGGAAATAAGTTAACAATTTAGTGAATAATGCATGAGAACAAATGTTATCCAATTCCCTCTTCCAAAACCTTGTTGACTCTTCAGTATTAACTGGATAACTACTGACTCAGGTAGTACTAGAGAGACACGGTGGGTGACATAATATCTTTTATTGGATCCAACTTCTGTTAATGAGAGAGACAAGCTTTCGAGCTTACACACAGCTCTTCTTCAGATCAGATAGCATTGATCTGTGCTCATCTCTGTGGGCAAGGAGCTAAAGCCTGTGTCCTCTAAAAAACAGCTGTTCCTGGGGCAAGAATAGCAATTAGCAACTGTCTGGAATTATATGTCCTAGGAGCCCTCCGTTTGCCCCTACAGCAGACCTTCGGGCTGCTCTATGTTTCCACAGCTTCTACTACTTACCTTCTCATTTTTCCTAAATCATCTATGGATTTTCAGAGTGACCCATTTGTCCCCACCAGAGACCTGTTAATCCTGCCACTCTCAGACTGAGTGTTACATCAGGAAATTGGCAAGCTGAAATTCACAGCTTCCTCCACCTCCTTAAAAGGAAGGTTTGATTCTAGTCATCCCATGCTATCCATATCGCATTGTACAATAACCCATGCATTATTAATCAATGTTTTTTTAGAAATGGGGATTTTTATATCTATATATGGGAATTATAGCTACATCTTACATAAGAGAAGAACTCCATGTAAAAAATAGTAAAGACACTGGTGAAAGATGGCGTAGATCGGATAGACAATGCTTATACACCTGTTTAAAATATTGTGTGAAGAGACCCATTTGCACATTTAAGTTTCTCTGTGCCTAAGGGAGTATCAAGACTGAAGTGAATCTGGGACCTCTCTATGATAAACAAGAGGTTATTGAGAACATGCCAGAGGAGCCAAACTGAAATCTACCCAGACAGTCTTTAGATAAATCTCTTCACAAGGATTCTCCAACCACTCTAATGAGCCACACAGCTGGTAAAAAATATTATGACTGTGCTATTTTTTCTTCTCATGCTGCAGATGTTCTCACTGCCAGCTCAGCATAGTTAGGTAATTCTCCACAAATAGCTGTCAAGAATATTCATTAAAGATAGGAATCTTTCTCATGGATTTTCTTTTTTAAAGTGAACTAGAGAAATAGAGCTATCTTTTTAAGTTTATAAAGGAGAAGTACCCAGTGCACATAATTCATGAAGTTTCATATTGCAAATCATGTGAACATTTGTATCATTTGACAACAGACTAAGGCTTGCAGACTTTGTCACCAGATGTACATGCAGTTTTTTTATATACAATTGGCATATAGGTAGTAACACCCTGGAGTTAAACTTTAATCTCTGCCTGTTAACTAAAGTTCACAATGCTGGAAATTGAAAAGTGGAAATCTCTCTTCTGTGACAACAACAAAAAAAGCAATTATAACTCCTGCCCATGGAACATTTTACATAAATCTCATTATGGCATCTGGACCGCTATGACTCCAGTTATTCAATAACCTTTATGAGCTATCTCTTAAAGATTAGCTAGCAACTATTTTTAGCAGAGCACAAAGGCACATTTGTAGTATCTAATTTTAATGTGTTGTATCATTTCTTTCAAATGTTTAGCACAAATCACCAAAGCATGTGCACCATGCGTCTGATCCAAAGCCCACTGAAGTTAATGGAGAGGCTTGCATTGGCTTTAATTGGATTTGAAACAATCACAATGCCCCTTGGGCACATTCCTAAAGATCATCCTTTTTTAAGAGGTTTGCAGAGAGGGGTGAGGGCTGCGGTCTGTGTTTTGGGGTCTAAGGTTTTGAGGATGGAATATTGTTGGTTTTTTCCTGTCCTTGGGGAAGCTGCTGGGTTTATTTTGTCTGCATAAGTCTTTGCATTTTTAATATGTGGCAAAGACAGCTAAAGCCTGCAACAAATTTCTCTATATATGTTTTGTATAAATCCAAATAAATGAATGGATTTGTACATGTTTGTTCACCTATAATGAATTATATGTGAAAAGCCCAACTCCAGTCACTTTTGTCTGTGCAACTCACAAATGCATAAAGGTATAATAAATGCCCTTTATATAATCATGAGAGTGTTTATAACTAAATTGTGTCAGATCTCATAGGGAGAAGAATAGGGTGTTAAGGATTAGAAAGATAAAAAGAGGATATTAGATGTTTTTAGCCAGAAATAAACAATCTCAAACTTTATAGAGACTCATCTATTTTATACGATGAAAACAACAAAGCATAATCCCTCTGAAGCAATTAAATAGGTATTTTGTCAGTACAGCATATGTAACCAAGCCCTGCCAGTGGCTGTCAAGACAACAGTGTTGTTTCAATTCACAGACTGTTCCTGGCAACTACAAGGGACACCATTACTGTTAGCCAGTAGTTTATGTTTTATAGCCGTTCAGTGCTTTAAACTGCAGCTTAGGTATAGGGCCAGATTGTGTCTGCACTGCAAGTGTGTTCATTATGGGCTAACCTCACAGTGACCAGGCACAGTCCCAGTCCCTGATTGTCTGAACGCAGGAACTGTTGCCTCCTAGGCTACTGCTGCTGCTAGCTACCCCCAAAGAGTGTGAGGAGAGATGGAACAAGAGTAAGGTTCTACTTTCCCATCCGCCCTTCAGCATCCAGCAGGGCTTCCTAGGGACACAGATGAGTTCAGGGTGCATCTCTTGAAGGGGTGTGGGATGTGAGTACCGTAACATAGTTACTGAGTTTGTGTGTGGCATGTCTACAGACAACCCCTAGAGGGTGTGTCTCTTCCCAGAGGAAGGAAGGAAGTAATCCTGGTGTCAAGGAAGGGGTGCTTCCTGCCTGGGGGTAGGTGAAGGGAGCAGCAGCAGGAGCAGGAGTGGGGAATCCTCTGCACCCTCTTACAGTGATAAACATATATTTTGTTGTTACATAGCGCATGCCTATGGCATAATTCCAGGGCCTCTGCCTACTTGTGCTCACCCACAAGGAGGAGACCATGAGTTCCTGCAACGGTCCACTTCCTCTGTGTACTGGGAAGACATTGGGCATAAACAAAGCCCACTGAAGTCAATTGAAAGCTCCCATTGACTTTAATGAGCTTTGCCTCAGGTCCATTATGAGGCACAAGCCCTGAATCACATAACATCCCAATGCTCCTGAAGGGACAGTGAATTACTGCACTGCCAGTTATCAGATATAATTGAGCATTCTGAAATGGAGATAGTCTGAACAATCCCAAGTCATCTGGCTTCCTGCAATTTCCCTGTCTATAGCACAAGCCCAGAACCTTTAATTCCAGAGATATAGGGCAAGGAAAAGATAATGCCTTTATGCTATAAACAGCATAACCCCAGAATTCACCAAATTCACTCTCTGTGTAGCCAACAGCCATCTGTGAGGGCTGAACTCAGAGGCCCAGATTTCAAGCACAAACCTTTTCTTCTTCTATGTAAGAATGGGGTCTCAACTCTATAGACACAAACAATCTTTATGGGCTGGACACCTATTGGCGCTACACCTGCAAACAGTTGTGCATCATGGGGGCCTAAACAGAAACCTTGCAGTTTGCCCTGATGATTGATATTGCTTTGGTCAGTGCAGTGCTACCCACTGAGAGCAACCACTACAATTTTTTATTATGATACAATGCTATTGATACAAACACCAAAAGAAATCAGTATTTCCTTTTAAAAGGAGGCCAGGGCCCTGATCCTACAAAGAAGTCCATATTGGTGGATCCCAGAAAGCACATAGAACACAATGATCTTCCGAGAAGGCAAAGGGGCCCACTTGTGCAGAGTCAATCGCAGGATTTGGGCATATGTTATCTTTTTTTTCTTCACTGAGTTTTATTGAAATTCTAGAATTTGTCATTTGTAGCAGGACAATTTCATCACTTCCTCACAAGATTTATCAACACAAAGTTATCCAGCATGATGTGTAATTTACTTTATGGTCAGCTGTTTACAATTCAAGTGTTTCCAATTTCCAAAAAATAAATCCAGATATATGAACACATTCCAGGAGGAGTGCATTATGGACAAAAGATAGCCATCACATTCAGCACAAGAACATTTTTGCTTGCTTATGCCATGTACACCTGTCGCTTTTTGGCAATTTACTTACTTAGAATGTTGGGGGCTTTAGTGCTCTTGTTCAAAATTAGCCTTATAACCATATCTTGGCTACAATGCCCATTGTGCAAAATAGAGGGCAAAATTCAACACAACTACCAAGTACAGGCCCTTTATTATGCTACCTGGTGATAGATTATGTACCCCCTAA